AGAGAGAGAGAGAGAGAGAGAGAGAGAGAGAGAGAGAGCAATGGAGAGATAATGCATGTGCATGCGTGTTGTTGTGAGCATGTCAGTATGTGGGTGTGCATTGTGTATGCCTGAGCGTTTGTGAGTGAGTGTGTGTATATATGTATATGTGCGTGTCTGAGTGAGTCTGTATGCATTAGTGTGCGTGCCCATACCCACGTAAATACAGAAACGAGTATAAATCGCATGCAGATGCATACACGCACACACACGACATTAACACACACACACACACACGCACGCACACACACACGCACACACGAACACATACACACAAACACATGCTTACACACAAACACATCCACAAAGCCTTTAAGCAAAAGCTTCAAAAACATTTTTTTCGTACCACATTGCTCTCAAAGAACACAGCTTGCGAAGCCTTATCTCTATTCTACATATATCTATGAACTGGAATTAATTTGCTGTATGCTCATTTCACTTGCAAATTACGATAAAAAGACGGGAGAAATATCGACTCCGAAAGTCTGTGTCTTCTGATTTTCTTTCTTTGTTTTTATTTTAAAGAGACCAGAAAACTCTAGTACTCTCATCAGATTACTTCTTTGATGAAGTTCAGTTTGATTTTTTTGTTTGTTTTTGGGAGCTTTTATGTTGTTGTTTGTTCTTCTAGAAGGTTGTTTTACTTCTCCATCGACTCAATTTAGAAAAAAAAATATAGGAGGCAAGCTTTCGACCATGCCTGTTAGGCCCAATCTGGATTGGGAGGGAATATACAACGTCCCAGCAGAAAGACCGAGATACTCGATTCGAAGACTTGATCTAAACAACTTTACGTGGTCGTGTTGAGTGTCTTTCCCAGGAAGGACATAACACCGAGCCTGATGATCCAACTGCCTTATCTTTGAACCAACGACCTTACCTGTCCAGAAGCCTATAATCAATAGACTACCGACGCAACAATAGAAATATAATTATGATTTTTAAGCAGGCGTCTTACGCCCCCCATTGACACAATTCAATTAATACTCTGGGAGGCGAGCTTCGACTCTGCTTGTCAGGGCCAAACCGGTCTAAGAGGGAAACACCATCTCAGAAGACAGACTGAGATACTAGATAAAAATTACCGCCTCAAACGAATCGAGCAAAGACTTTTAGCGTGAACGGCAATTGAAAGATTGGATCGATTCGGTTGTTTCTGGCGGCTCCAGTGCACAGTACAAATAAACCCCTGCCTCAAACCGATGGCCCGACTAGCGGCCTTGAAAACAGACGCGTTTGTTTTTGAAGATCATCCTCGGTTTCGTTCGGTTTGTGTCACGATAGCCGCTTCTGCTTCTCCGTTGAGGAAAATCTGGCTAGCCCCGACAACCAAACCAAACCAAACCAAAACGAACTGAACTGATTCTACAAATGGGCACCGTTTATAACCGCTACACGACAGACACCTGACCTTGTTTCAATGTGTTACGTGTGGTGTCGGTGGCCTAGTGGTTAGGCTCTCGGACTCGCAACCGTAAGGTCGTGGGTTCGAATCCTGTCAGGGACCCGACGTTGTGTCCTTAGGAAAGGCATTTTACACGAGTTTTCCTCACTTCACCCAGGTGGGAATGGGTACCCAGCTGTAGACAGTGAAAGATCTAGTCAGTTTGTCAGTGTTTGAGCGCTAAATCAGCTGCTTGCACTGTATGCTTCCCGGGAAGCTGAGAATGTTTCTGAGTGTTCTATGGTCCGCTGGGGTAATAATTTAGTGTAAAGCGCATGGAGCTTGCTGTCGAGCGCGGTTATGCGCTATACAAATGCTATTTATTTTTTTCATTAAAAAAAAATTATTATT